CCCCTATAGTTCATGCAATTTTGTACGTCGCCCTTATTCTTGTAGATAGGCACCAAAGTGCTCTCGTTCGCCACTCATTTGGCATCTTTCTTCGTTTTCAAAATCCTATTGAAAAGGTCAGTGAGCCATGTTATACCTGTCTCTCCCAAAACTTTCCACACTTCGATTGGTATATCGTCTGGGCCTATTGCTTTTCTATGCTTCATCTTCTTCAAAGCTACAACCACTTCTTCCTTCCGGATTCGACGATAAAAGGAGTAGTTTCTACACTCTTCTGAGTTACTCAACTCTCCTAAAGAAGCACTCCTTTCATGTCCTTCATTGAAAAGATTATGAAAAATAACCTCTCCATCTGTCTTTAACCGCGTTCTCTGTAGCAAGAACCTTTCCATCCTCATCCTTGATGCACCTCACTTGGTTTAGGTCCCTTGTCTTCTTTTCCCTTGCTCTAGCTAGTTTATAGATATCCAACTCTCCTTCTTTGGTATCTAGTCGTTTATACATATCGTCGTAAGCCGCTAACTTAGCTTCTCTGACAGCTTTCTTCGCCTCTTGCTTCGCTTTTCTATACCTTTCACCATTTTCATCGGTCCTCTCCTTGTATAAGGCTTTACAACATTCCTTCTTAGCCTTCACCTTTGTTTGTACCTCCTCATTCCACCACCAAGATTCCTTTTGGTGTGGGGGCAAAGCCCTTGGACTCTCCTAATACCTCTTTTGCTACTTTTCGGATACAACTAGCCATGGAATCCCACATTTGGCTAGCTTCCCCCTCTCTATCCCACACACATTGGGTGATTACCTTCTCTTTGAAAATGGCTTGTTTTTCTTCTTTTAGATTCCACCATCTAGTTCTTGGGCACTTCCAAGTCTTGTTCTTTTTGTCTTACTCTTTTGATATGTACATCCATCACCAACAAGCGATGTTGATTAGCCACGCTCTCTCCTGGTATAACTTTGCAATCCTTACAAGTTATACGATCCCCTTTCCTCATTAGAAGAAAATCTATTTGTGTTTTTGACGACCCACTCTTGTAGGTGATCACATGTTCTTCTCTCTTCTTAAAGAAGGTATTGGCTAAGAAGAGATCATATGCCATTGCAAAATCCAAGATAGCTTCCCCATCCTCGTTTCTCTCCCCAAAACCATGGCCACCATGAAAACCTCCATAGTTGCCTGTCTCCCTGCCCACGTGTCCATTTAAATCTCCTCCTATAAATAACTTCTCCGTCTGAGCAATTCCTTGCACCAAGTCTCCAAGATCTTCCCAAAATTTCTCCTTCGAACTCGTATCCAACCCTACTTGAGGTGCGTACGCACTAATCACATTGATAAGTTCTTGTCCTATTACAATCTTGATTGCCATGATTCTATCTCCTACCCTCTTGACATCTACAACATCTTGTACCAAGGTCTTGTCCACGATGATGCCAACACCGTTTCTCGTTCTATTTGTGCCCGAATACCAAAGTTTAAACCCTGAGTTTTCTAGATCCTTTGCCTTACTACCAACCCACTTAGTTTCTTGTAGGCACATAATATTTATCCTTCTCCTCACCATATAACTTCCACTACTTCCATAGATTTTCCCGTTAAGGTTCCTATATTCCACGTTCCTAAACGCATTTTGCTCTCTTGAACTCTACCCTTCTGTCCTAGCTTCTTCACCCTCCCCCGTCTAATAGGATCAAAGTACTTCTTTTGTGTGTCCCGGGTAAAGTTGATAGGAGCATATGCTCCCAAACAACTTTGAGTGGAGTCGTTCGAAAAGAAGTTTCTATGGCCCCCTTGCTCATTTAACACTGCATCCGGGTGCCGATGGAGATACAGCGACCCTTGCTCACTTATCACTGTGCTCGGGCCACACAGCGCGCCACTTACGGGTGACGCCCTAGCTTTAGCGCGATTTTGTTCTGGATTCATTTTCATAAGGATTCGACGTGATCATGGAGTGCCGGCTGTCGACTACCTGACGCCCTCCCCCTCCTCCTTTATCCGGGCTTGGGACCGGCCATGTAAGACATAGGCGGAGTTATCTCTAGTGAGAAACATGATGATATAAATATAATCCGGGATATTGATGAGTATCTACCGTTGATGGAAAATTCGTTGGAAATTTCTGCTCCCAACCTCAAGTATTTGGAATGGGATGGTGGTATGATGAATCATCAGCATCTGGCGAAGTTGAAGTTCAATGTGGTTACACACCTACACCATTACTTAAATAATATCTCATATTCTATTCCGTGATGGCGATATTAGCCTTCAAGTTCAAAAGGTGAAATTTTCTGCTTACCTTATTGTCCTTGTTATTTTGGTTATTTGGGCTAGTTCGAAGTAACAATGACACATTTTAGTCATTTTTTAAGTTATTCCGTCAAATTTATGTAGCGTATTCTACTAAATTGAGCTTAAACTCCTCATCTATGCATAGAGCATTTTTACCAAATTGAGCTTAAGTAAGTTCCATAGAACTTTAAAGTTCTTTGTCCAAACAAAGAATTAGAGTTTTGACATATTATATGTAGAATATTTTTTTGTTGAATTGATTGTTTTTTAATTTTGTAGGCATCTTTATTTGATAAAGGAAATTGGGAAAGCCAGAACCTTGATTTAATATCTCAGCTGAAGGGGGTAACGTTGGAACTATCTTACGGGTCAAATGAATCCGAGTTGCAATGTTTTTGCTTGAACATGCTCAGGATTTGAAGAAAATGGTTGTGGAGGAGTTCAGGAGCGAGAGAAAATCATTTGCGCACCACGACTGTCTCGTATTGCAAAGTATCAGAGTTTGTGGTTCCAATAGAGAGATTTTTCTGCTCGTCATACAAGATGATACACTACGTGTTATTACATAAATAATATGATATGTGTGCCTAATAACTTAAAAATATATAATATTTTACTACTTACATAAAAACACGTGATATCATGTACCACATCCGTTCTCGTCATAATTAAAAAATTTCCGTTCCAATGTTGAGATGTCAGGGTTTAGTCACATAATTACGCAAGCAATCGAGTGTAGATCTTGACGAAGATCTCTGCTTCTACTTCCTACTTTAGTCTGTGATGTGACTGACGGGCCTAGTTTTTCTTCTCTCACATTTGGAGAAAGATTATCTTCCCTATTTTTCTCTTATTTTTTTATTTCCCTTCTGTTTGAACATCACGATTAAACTACGCTAACATCTTATATTAATTTTTTATAAAAATAAAAATAACAATAAAAAGCATGAGAGGAAATGATAAAAATGGATGGAAAAAAAAAGAAAATGAGAGAATCCTAGTCCAATGTAGGAGAAATTTTTAGTTATGACGGAAACACAAGTGATATACCACGTATTTTAATAGAAATGGTGTGAAATTTTATTTTTTAAATTATTAATTTTTTAGCACACATATCATATAATTTGTATATTGATATATGATGTACTATATCGTATACCGATCTCACTGAAAAATCTCTCGCGCATGGGAGATACCAATGGCGGTCCTTGTGCTATTGGGCTTATATTTCCAATGAAAATAGGTAGACCTAGCTGTAATTTGCTGTCAATTGCAACTGATTGACATACTTGTTTTCCATTTTTAAAGAAAGATACGAAGTGACTTAAAAAGTAAAATACACAAGTTGTAATTTTTTCCCATTTTTAATGAAAGTTTATTTTCTGTTTAAAGAAAAAAAAGTAAACTACACAATGGTTCTTGAATTCATACACAATTTTAAATTTGATTTCTGAACTAAATTTTTATTAATTTACATTCTTGGATTTTATTAATTTTTATTAAAAAAAAAGATAAATTAATTGGAATTGAATTCGTGCTAGGTTCACCAAACCTTACCATAATTTATAGATGGGGCATTTTGATCTAGATGCTTGGTTTTTTATTTTCTTAGACCAAATTAATTTCGAACTCACCATATATAATTATATCCTTAAATTGAGAAGGGCTGAAATTCCATAAAATATAGCAATAAATTAATTAATATTATTGATTGCATTTTTGACATAAAAATGAATTTGAAAACACATATATTTAGAATATAATTGGATTGTAGGATTTAATCAAAAGTGAAAACATTTTATTCTGAAATTGAAAGAATAAATATTTAATTTAGAAAAGTCAAAAAATGAAGCATTGATTTGATTCTAATAATTAACTCGAATTTACATCTTAGAGCAAGTCCACCGGAGGTGGAATAGCCCAGCACAAAGTACAAAAATCAGGTTGGGAGCTAGTCAATTCACTTCAGCCCACCCTTTTGCCTGGGACCCAGCCCAAGCTGGTCTCCAGGGCAGCCCAAATTTGATTGAGCAAGGAACCGGGCAATTGGGTTGGCGCGTGCCTTTCACGCGGCCTTCATGGCGAGTAGCCGACAGACGTTCAGAGGTTGGGCCTGCCTTGCAGGCGCACTCACACCCCACCCCGAGTGGGCAACGTGGCGAAATGTATGTCGTTGGATTTCCAACGGCTAGTTTTTGTAGACCGTTGGATTTCCAACGGTAAAAAAAAATTAAATTTGACTTTTAAAATAGACCGTCCGATTACAGATCAACGGTCCACGTTTTTTCCCCCAAAAAATTAAGAATTTCACTTTTAAAAACTACAGAAATTTTTTAATAAATTTAGATATTATTATTATTATTATTATTTTATTTTTTATAAATTCAGAAATTAAAAATAAAATTATTATTTTATAATAAAAAATAATAATACTTTAATAAAATGGACTAGGTTATTTTTTGTTAGGAGGAGATACTTTGGTTTATTACTGTTCACTATAGTCTATCACTGTTCACTTGAATGGATAAATACGTTGAGTGCTGGCACAAAGTCCTTAAAGTGGACTTGCTCTTAGAAAGATGTAAATTTTATTTTTAATTTTTTTCACGTCTCAAATTTATAGATTTTTACTAAAAATGGTTTTTATGAAATTAACCCACGATATAAATAGAGTCCTCGCATTTGACACTAGTTGCCTTTGATACAAACCGTTTCTCTTCCTCTTCCCTGTCGATCAAACTTCCATGGAACCCCTTGCTGAAGGTGCTTCTGCCAATCTAAATGTCACTTTGGACAGGTTCAGTGCTCTTCCACGCGAAGTTGCTCATCACATTTTGTCATTACTTCCCATATCCGACATCACTCGAGTTGGCATGTTATCCCAAAAATGCAGAGCCTTTTATCTGTCGACTCCCACATTGAACTTCACTGAATTCCCCTCGGAGTCCACTCGCACCTTCAACAGCCGTTTGGAGTTGATGGCTTCCTTGGACAAGTTCTTCATGCGTCGCCACCATAACAAGGTACAAAGCTTTTCTCTGGATTGGGTTTCTGAGTTCGAACTTGGGGAAACAGATATTGAAAGTTGCTGCTCTGTTGAAAAATCTAGGGTTTTGGGTTGGATTGAAAATGCACTGACTTGCAACGTTGAAAAGCTTGATTATTTCTTTACAACTGTGATGCCAACCCTAGACGATATTATTAGCGAGACCCAGATAGATTTTCCTTCATCTGTGTTTGTTTCTGGGTCTCTGAGGTCTCTTTCTCTAGATATGAAGTGTGCAACTCTTAAAGCTTCCACATTTTCTGCATCTTCTATCTGTAATCTGGTTTTTCTGAAGCTGAGAAGTGTTACCATGGAAGATGATGAGGGTTTTTGCAAATGGATCTGCTTCTGCTGCAGAAATATTAAGGAGTTGAGGCTCGAGTGTGTGATAGGGTTACGAAAAATCGACATTGAGAGTTCGTCTTTGGAATCATTTGGTGTTGAGTGTCCCTCTTGTTATGATCTTTGCCATGTTAAAATCTCTGGTGAGAAAGTTGAAGATGTGCATATAAATTGGAATTTTAATGCTCCATTGCCTCGGACGAATTCGTTGGAGATTTTCGCTCCAAATCTTAAGCGTTTGAATTGGGTTGGTTATATGATGAATCACCAGAATCTGGGGGAGTTGAATTGTTTGGAAGAAGTTCAGATTTCTCTCATGGCTGATGGAGTAGATGATCCTGAAAGCAAAATACATGAGTTCCTCTCTAGCATTCGCAGTGCTAAAACACTCCGTATTGATCAAGGGACTACAAAGGTAAAGAGTACGAAATTGAGAGGATAAAATCGGCTTACTGATCTAATTCTTTTTGTAGTGTTAGGGTTTTATTATCTTTTCTATTTGATTTGATAAAATCCTTTGGCTTTAATTTTGTTGTAGAATCTGTTCAAGGATGGTTACACACCCCCAATATTACATGAACTCTGTTACTTGAATGTGACTATTTGGAGCGGTATCGATGACAAGGTTGTCCCGGCGCTGGCCTCACTTTTTAAAGGACTCCCTAATTTGACTACTTTGGAATTGACGGTATCTGATCAGTTACCCTTCTTCTTTCGCACTGCAAATGCGGCTACTGTAAGTGAAAATCTATGTTCTCTCCAACATGCGGAGTAAATTTTACCATTGACAATCTTAGTTATCATTTCTTGGGAACTTTAATTGAAATGCTTGTTTGTTAATTTTCTAGTCATCTGAATTCGATAGGCGATATTGGGAACGCCAGCACCTGGAGTTTGTTTCTCAGTTGAAGTATGCAATCATAGAGCTTACTAACGGGTCTAATGGATTCGTGCTTGCAAAGTATCTGCTTGAACGTGCTCAGAATTTGGAGGAAATGCTTGTGATTTGCCTGCCCAATCAATGGAATTTCGCAAGGAAGTTGAGGAGCAGCCGGATTATTTCTTCCAATGCTGCAGTTGGCTATCTGGAAAAAAGTGGGGGTCGTACAGGGTTCTAATCACCCAACTCTACATCCACATTTTGGGGTTTCAATGTTAAATCTAGTAGGTTTTGTTTTCCAGCTATGTGTTATTAGAACGGAACTGGGCGGTTGATCCTGTATGCTTTGTTTAAGGATATGGAGGATGGGAAGTTCGGAACTGGATGATCGATCGTATGTATTTTGTTCAAGGATATGGAAGATCCATATCTTTTTTATTAGTATTAAGTTCTTATGCAACTTTTATTTCAAAGTCTCCTTCGCTATGAACTTCACAGTGTTTTGCCTCTAAAGGAAGCAGGTCTGTCAGGTTGAATCTCTGAGATTTTTAAGGTCAAAACGGTGTGCCCAATGTGTTATGTGAATTGGTTTTTGGATTATGAAAACTTGGGAATCAAGTAACGCCTGGATCCTGAAAGTTTGTCCAATGTAAAATCTACGATCAGTGTACTACGGTGAAACCTCTCTAACGTAATACTATAAGGTGCGTTTGTTGCATCAGACTATTTCGGAATAGACTAGCTTTAGGGACTAAGCTGGATTGTCTTAGATTAGACTAAGCTGGACTAATTTAATGAAGCGTTTGGTGCAGTGTCGGATTAAAAAACTATATAAAATAACAAATTATAATATTATATTATTTAATATATATCTAATAATATTTTATTATTAATTCAACTTTGTTTTTCCCTAAAAGTTCGAATAAACACTTCTACCTCTCTCCAGAAATTTTTACTTTTGTTCCTCTTTGGTTCCGTCCCCAATTCTTGCTTTCCTCCCATCATTTTCCTGCAAAAGGCTTCAATACCAAGTTTCCTGCAAAATCGTTCCCAAAGGTATCTTCTCCTCCCTCTCTGTCTCTTAATCTCTCTTCGTCCCCAACTCTCTCCCCTTCTCTATCCATTTCTCTCCGGAATTTTCTAGAGAAAAGGGAACCTTTATGGGAATTTTCGAAAATAAGGTAGAATTTTTCTATTGAGATTGTTGATGTTATTGTTTTGTTTCTTCTTTTTTTTTTCGGATTTTGGTGGTTGGATTTTGAGATTTAGGTTGTGAGTGGGTTTGGGCTTCAAATCTGGGCAGATGGAGTTGCCCAGAAGCATAGAGACTTGCAGCTTTCATACGACATGCAGACAATTTTGAGAACAGGACTAGCAATTCCATAGTTTTTGAGGGGTTTCACGAAAACCGGCTAATCCCATGGTTAGTCGGGGCGAGTGAAGGTTAGTGCCATTAAAGTTAGTTCCAGCAGGGACCAAACATGGGACTGGACTAATCCTTAGTCCAGTCCAATCCAGTGAGAGTTAACGAGGGCAAACAAACGCCCCCTAATGGAATAATCTAAAATAATTAAAAAAAATTATGTTAGATTAGTCATCGATATGATTTAAACTTACATCATCCTGCAAAGGTTCAATATTTTTTTATTACTGTGGTAAAGGACCTATTGGCCGGAATTATTATTTTTAAAAAATATTTTGTGGTTTGGAGGAAATATATATAGGCTCAACTTCTTTAGTTTCACATAATTAAAAAAAAAAATTAACAATAACAAAATTGTTACTTAAATAGGTTTTTACCAGGCACCCACGTTGGGCTTTTTGCCTACAAATAGGAGCTTTTTTCTCACTGGGTTTTTGCTACCTAACTAGGTTTTAACGAGGCACCCACATTGGGCTGGTCATATCCTTGATGACGTCATCTAGACTTTTCTTTTGACTTTGCATTTCTCACGCATTTTTCCTTAGGCCATCTCTAACGAATGGCTGGCCAAAGGGCTCTCTCCAAAATATTAATATTTTAATGAACATTACATGACCATATTTGCCTTCATCTCCAACCGAGGGCCAAAGGGCCATAGGGCTTGTTTTAGCCCTGTCATAAAAAACCGTCTCCAATCAAGGGCCAAATGGTCAAACATAATTTTTTATTTAAATTTAAAAACTACAACTTATATTTAAAAAATATAACTTAAATTTAAAAACTACATGAATTGTTTAGGTATTTATAGGAAAAAAATTTAGAATTTTTAAGAATTAAAAAAAAGGGCCCACCAATAAATTAAAAAAAAAAATTGAATCCAACAGTAATTGGCGTTAGTTAACCGTTGGATTCAAATTTTTGTTTAAGCATTCTTGTTGGATATAACCAACATGAATAAATTTATATTAAATATATTCTTGTTGGTTATATCCGACAGGATTGCTGGAATTTATGGCTAGTCCCGGGCTGGCTGGCTAGCTGCATGCGACTAGCCCTTTGGCCCTTTCAGATTCTGTGGGGCCCACGACCCTCAGTTGGAGACGGTTTTCAGGCTATTTTCGGCCCTCTAGACCCTTCGGTTGGAGATGGCCTTAGACTAAGGATTTTGTTCCTACTCGAGTTTTTGCCATAGCCTTAGGGTTTTTATAGTGAGACTTTCTACTTATGCAAGTTCCTACCTTATTGAGAATAAGCGTTGTTCCTTAAAATTAGTGTCAATAAGTCGACTTCCTCAACTTCTGCATGATGCTAAATTTACCTTGAGTATATACACACACAAGGGAGAGTGTTGTAAACATTCCTAGTTTAAGTGTGATTGTGTAAATCCTAAATTAGATTTGATTCTAGGTATTATTTCCTATTGTATCTTGTATTCCTTGGGGATGAAGGAATATCTTCTCTCCTTATATTACTATGAATAAATGCACAATGTAGGAGGGATAATAACACACATTCTCCTACAATTCTACAAACACATCTCTCTCTTTCTCCTCCTTGCCGCCGACCCTCTCTCTCCTTATCAGATAAAATAGACCACAACAAAAATAAAAGTTTTTATTCTTCCTCTAAACATTGAAAAAAGTAAACCGATCGAAATTCAAATTCCCCTAAAGAATGTGTTTGATTTTGATTTTTCCCCGAAATTTCTTTTAAGAAAGACTTAACATTTTTAGCTTATTTATCGCATATTGTCTATTTTCTCATCTCATTCAAATTTCCATCAAATATAATATACGCGACAACTTGACCATTCCCTATGCACCCCACCGTCTCATACCTCCTATACATGTCATCTTTTATTATTATTATTATTACTAGTAGATGAGCACACACTTTGTGTGTGTGAACAATTTCATTTTATTTTTTGTCTTCCTCTGCTGTAGGTTCGTGTTTGTTGCCACTTTCCCATTTCGCAGGTTCACGCTTGTTGTTGCTGCAGATCTCCAGTGGCCTATGGCTTTCTACTTTGGTTCGAAATCCCCGTGATGGGTGTCTCTTCTTGGTTTATGCACAATAGAGAAACAAAAGCCAAAACCAAGAAAGATAAAAAGAGTTTTAAACCAGAACATGGTATCCTTCATGTTAAGGCAGCTAATTACGATTTTACCTTATAGGCAGCATCAACGTCACTGTACGCAAAGCAAACCTTAATCGGCTGCCTCTCACGGTAGGAGCTTGGGGTCTAGACGGTACCTGTCAAATTATCGGTCTTGCTGATGTAGCGGTGTGAATGCTATCGTCGTTTGCCGGCTTTCTAACTCCCCCCACCTAAATTATTAAATTATTAAATTTCTTCATGATTATTTACAAAACCTTCCTATATGCAGTCAATAGGTACATGACAAACAATTGAAAAGAAAAAAAAATGATGTGAGAAAATAATTTTCCTAAAAACATGTTTGTACATGTTGGAGTCTTCCAAGCGACGAATATCGTAGCCGAAGGCTTTGGAATAGAAGGTTGTGGATTTGGCAACATCCTTCACGTAAATCACTGTGTAGGCAAACACTATGTTTGTCTTCGACGCCATCGCCATTTTTTGTTTTTTGATCAAGTTTTGTTTCTTTGATGTGTTTGAGCTTGTATTCAGGGGCTTTCATCAGATTTTCTTTCCTCCTCGCCATCAACCCTTTTGTGCTCCTCTCCTTTTTTTTGTTTTGTTTTTGCTTTTGCTTTCTTGCCTTGTTGCCTTTTGTTCTTCTCTGTCTCTCCCCCCCCCCCCCCATTTTTCGCACTTTGAAAAGGAAGTGGGGGCAGTCAGTTTCACACTTTACCAACTACCGTTAACCTCTCTTTTTAGGGATATGATTGTCTTTTTGTCAAAAGGAACAAAATTATTATTTTGCCCTCTTTATCTCAACATTGTGTATTAAAAAAATGAGAGGCAAAATTGGAAAAAGTTGGCAAAATAGTTGACAAAGAGGATTCTCTTAATAATAGTATATATTATAGTATTACTAGCATATGTTCACACACGGAAAGCCCATAAACCATTTTAGAACCCGTACCCATATTTTGATGGGTTAAAACCAATTTTCCCCTTACTTTAACCGATGCCATAGAAATTAGAAAACCCCTGCAGGAATCACACGAGAAGGACACCCCCAAATGCGCAAAATTAGGTTTAGGTTTTCGAGAGGGGAACTTGCAAATCAATCACATTTCCAGAATCTGCATCGACCCAGTCCGGCTTGCACATCCTCCTAGTCTTCCTAGTAAGCAGAATCTGGGTATGTTCTAGTTTCCGACCAAAAGAACGCATCTTTACTTTTGTTCGTTGTAGAAATGAATCAAATTGATGTTCTAGTTTCTGGATAATTCAATTTTTCTGTGAGTGAATTGAAAGAGGGGTTTTCCAGATAATTTATTTCTGAGTAATTACTGGCGCAAGTCAATGGATACTGGAAGTTGTGAGGGTGAGGGAGTTGATGGTAAGAGGAGGATGATTGACAGATTTAGTAATCTTCCTGACCATGTTGCCCACCACATACTTTCTTTCCTGACTATCTCGCACCTTGCCCGTTTCGGCTGCGTGTCCAGACGATGCAGGGAACTCTATCTGTCAGCTCCATTTTTGAACATTGATGAACTTCCTCGTTTGTCTGATGCCAAGTGTAGTAAGCTGCAAAGGTGGTTGAATTGTATGGATAGGTTCTTCTTTCTTCGTGGTAATAATAAGATACAGCGCCTTCGTGTTTGTTGGATGAGTCACTTTGTAGACGTTAGTGAGAGTGATAGTGATGGTCATGTCGATGACGATGATGAGGATGATGATGAAACACTGTGCTCCTGTGATGAGTATTTTCGAATGATGTCGTGGATACACAATGCAGTCCGGTGTAATGTTGAGGAGCTTGATCTTGATATTGGTCCTGGAGAGGCGATAGCTCCGGTGTTTCCGTCTTCTGTCTTTCTTTGTCGATCTTTGACGTCTCTGTCAGTGGACCTGGGTCCTATAGTGCTTCACGTGCCCTCTTTTGCGTTTTCCTCAAATCTCAAATACTTGAAGTTGAAAAGCGGCATAGTAGAACAGGGGTTTTCCAAATGGATCTC